AAGCCCCTGGGATGCTCCCAAGACGAAGCGGAGACAGGAAATCATTTCAACAGAAGTAATCCCCATAGCATTTCAGAACAAGGTCCTTGAATTGGTCCTGCTCGAGAAATGAACAAGTTACTTGAGGGTCTTACATTTTCAAAATAAGTTACCCATCCATCTTTGGGGGGGTGGGTCACGGTAGTGACACAGGACCCATCCCCAGCAGGCCCAAAAGGTTGAGTTCAAGGCCCAAGCAGAGACAGCCTGTGACACTCCAGTATCTTGTCTGTGGGCTCACCTTTACTTTTCCTCAGTGGCTTGCCCTGCAGAAGCAATTTTAAGGCAAAATAAATAAATAAATAAATAAAGGAGAAAAAAGGAAAGGAAAAGAAGAAAGGGAAGAGGAGAGAGAGAAGGAAAATCTTTTATCTCCACTCAACCTTATTTACTCTTGTTTTATATGAAGCAAGAAAAAAAATGAACTCTCGGTGCAACAGGAGAACATTCCAAGAGCAGGACTTCCCTGTCTTTCTTCTGGCCACTCTCTCTGGCCACTCTCTCCCTTATGCTGTCTCAAATTTTGGCAGTTATGCTGAGCCTGAGAATTGCTCCTAAAGGTCCACTGTTAGACTGGGGCACTCGGACCAAATTCTAAGACACCCAAACCCTTCACCATGACTTGCCATTTCTATGGCTCCAGTACTAGCCAGACAGAGGAGTTGCTCAGCTCTGGACCAGGGGATTGGTGGACAGGAAGGTGGCTTACCTGCAACCCTTTGTAGCCACTGGCAATTAGATTGTTTGATTTGAGGGCTCGCAGATGAAGCCAACCTTTGCATGACAACTAGTTTCATGAACATCCATTTCTTTCCTTTCTCAGTGTGAGATTCTGTGGTTTGGTCTTAGGGCTTCAGATTGCTTCCAGGAGCATTGCCGCTGTAGTAGGCAAGGCAGGGTGCTTCCAAAAACTCGGTTGCAATTCCCACTACCACTTTCCAATCGGAAACTTAAGAAACAAATGATGTTCACAGGGTAAATGCCTGATGTTTAGAAACCTAGTGCTTTAGAACCAAGATGGATCAGAGGAAATGGAATGAATGACCCCCCCTCAATTGAAAAATAAGGGAAGTGAGACTTAGAGGTGGTAAGAGGCATTAAGAAGGACATATGTTTGCCACATAGCTGAAATAGAAGGTGGCATTTCTGCCCTGAGGTTTGCCACTATGCAGACTGACAGTGTTGCCACTAACCTTGGGCACAGTCTCAAAATACAAATTAGTATATGCCTATGAAATGTTAACTATTAGACTATTTTAAGATGAACTGTTCTGGACCAGCAGGCAGTGTAGTGGTTAAGGTGCTTGGGCTCCCACATGGCCAACCTTAGTTCAAGTCCTGGACCTGGTGGCTTGAAATACATCAGATGCGTGTGCGTGCATGCCTAAAATCCCAAGAAGAAAATGGAGGAGAAGGGATTGTGGTATGGTCATCCCCCCTGGAAGGGTGATTTCTCACTTTCTGTCTCTCAAACCCTATAGCAAAAAATATCTCTCTCTAAAAAAAAGATAAACTGTTCAGCCTTTTAATCCAGATAAATAGTTCCCTGCCTACAAAAGTGGCTTCAGAACTTTTGCTTTCACAGAGAAAGATAGCCATCACGGGTATGAGGAGCCAACAGGGGCCCCTCCCTAATAAACTTCTTTGGCATATTTTGAGATAACTATTCAGTATTAGCAGATACAGTATTAGCATACAAAGAAAAAAGCTAAACTTTTTTATAAGTTTATTCTGGATCATCTGTTTACAGCAGTAAAGTTAGCAGTGGGTACAAGCAAGATTTTGCTGATTCTCCCCCTCATCTATTTAGGAAAAATTATATCACAGGAAGAGAGCGTGTGAGGTCTGATACCTTGGCTGGAAAAACAAGACAACCTTTTCATCTTCTCTCCTCATTCTCACTCTTCCATGGCTGGACCCCAAGCTTCTATTTTTTTTTATTATTATTTTTTTTTTTACTGTACATTATGAAAGCTTTACAAATCTGGCTCTTCTTTGTGTCTCATATTTTCTTTTTTTTCTGATTATATATTGTGTCATCAGAAAATATGTCATGACTTTTCTGATGATCATATATATATATATATATATTTACTTATTTTTAATTTTTGCCAGACAGAACATGTTGGCCACAGACAGGCAGGGAGAGGAAAAGGCACTCCCCCATGGGGAAAGGTCACACTGTAATCCCTTCTATGCCATCTCTCAATCCTGTTGGGGTTTCAGGTATGCATGCACACACTCCTAGTGTGTTTTTCAAGTTGCTGGGTCCAGGACTCAAACCGCAGGGTCAGCCATATGGGATCCAGCCCCTTGACCACCAGGCCATGGAGCTGACCTAAATCTCGTATTTTCCTCTGGCTCCTGTGCACCCTTGCATATAACAAAATTGATATGCCTTTCTCCTGTTAGCCTGGTTGTTTGTTTTATTTCATAGACTAAAAATCCTCAAAACTTCAGAGAGAAGGGAGAAAATTTAAAACTTCCCTACAGTGGCATATACTTGTTTGTGTGTAAGTGGGTGCTTAAGTGTTTGAAGTCACTTGGCAGAACAAAGTCCTTTATAAAATCACGAACAGTAGTCATAGAAAAGGAAAATGTTTGCTTCTTCAGTGAGAAACTGTCTGTTGGTAAAGATTCACTTGGGCAGGAAAGTTCACAAATTATAAACTAGTGGCATTTCCCAATGAATGGCATTTGAGTTTATGGTTCTTGTAAGCATGCTTGGTCCCTCTGAAATGATTATATAAGGAATTCATTTTATTACATGAGCTTGCTTGGTATCTTTGCCCCAGCGAGCTAGGCTATGAGAGGAAAAGCTAATGTGTTTGAGTCCAAGGAACAAAAGCAGATTGCTAGACCTAATTTCCGTCCTGGTTCGGCCTTATCCAGGTGAGTTGTGTACTGGGCCAATGACTGCCTCTAAGGACTTGAACTAGCAGGTCTCTTAACTGTCAGATTTAGAAAAAGGAAAGAAAGCAAAAAGGAAGGAGAGAAAGAGAAAGAAAAGGAGGGAGAAACAGGGAAGGCACGAGGAGGGGGGTTGGAAGGGATGAAAAGAAAAATAAACCACACAGACATCCAGTTAAATTAGAATCTTGGATAAATGATAAATATTTTTAATATAAGTATGTCCTATGTATTTTGGGGGATATACTTATATTTTTTAAAAAAATTATTGTGAACTAAACTCAAGTTTAACTAAATATCCCGTATGTTATCTGGCACTCCTAGTCTCTAAAGTCCTTTAGCCCTTAAAAATTCAATTATCTGACTTCCATTTGTTTCCTAAAGTGTATGCAGGAGAGAAAGAGAGAGGCAATCCCCTGAAAACACTTACCAGCAGGTTTCCACTCTGCAAAATGACAACTCACATTAGAGGAATGCCATTTCAGGAAACTCCCCTGAGGTTGAGAGACAGCTCTTGGGCAAACAGCACCCTTTCTCGATGACATAAGCCCCTCTGTTGGCTGTCCTCCGTGGGCCCACGTAACTCTGGACCCCAGACTGTCTCCACGGCAAGCAATATTGTGCTGAATGCCTTAGAGAGACCCTGTGAAGAAAGATCATCTCCAGCTCCTTCCATCCATGGAGGCAATTATAACCCATCCCTGTTCCATGCAGTCGTGTACCAGGAACCAGAGAATCCCCAGAACCGGGGACTAAACCAATCATCTCAAGGAGGAATGGATCAGGGCCTCCTTTTTTTTCCTTAAGTAAAGTGAAAATTGCATTCATCCCAACTTGTGGGTGGATGGGGTAGAGTGGGAGTTGGGGGGAGTGGTAAAGCAAGATGGAGAGAAGAGAGGGTAAAAGATACAAGAGGTCAGAGTAACAGGATGCAAATTGCTGTTAGCAAAAGGCAGCATTTCATAGTGGGATGAAAATATTAAGATTTCCAAAACAGCCTTAAGAAGTAATTGGAGATAATGCTCTATCCGGTGTTACACTGAGGTCTTGCTCTAAAGAATGACCACTTCAGTCCATTTAGTTTGAGCCTTTTGCAATGTACCAGAGAGGAGTTTCTGAGAGTCAGGGAAGGGTTCAAAGCAGGAGGGAAGCATGTTGACTGCATTTCCACAGTCCTCCCATCTGCCCTGGAGAGGGGCTGTCCTTCTATTGGTTCCTGGAATGGATGGGCAAACAGAGCCCCAGTGTCTCCAAAAAGCACTTCTCAATCCCTCCACCACCACCACCACCACCTTCTTGCTGCCAGGGAATGAATTAACCTAGACATAGAGACAGCTATCATTAACTCTAGCTTCCTCCCAACCACTTCAGCAGCTCCATAAAGAAGCAGAACTGTGAAGATAATATGTTTTAGGATGCAATGTTTTACAGAGTGGAAGACCGGAGAAACAACTCTTTGCTTTAGATGCAAATAAACTCGGCTTCACTTTTAATGCTGAAAACCTGTGTGCCCTTGGCAAGACATTGGGGAATGTTCCAGAGGTATTAATCTTCCTCTGTTTACATGTTAAATAGGTCTTTGGAATCGGTTTCTCCGGCGCTGTTTTATTTTTTCTCTTCAGCACAGTTCCCCTCTCTCTTTCAGTACAGTGAGAAATCCCCAGCAGCGGGAAGCCCTAAGGGAGGAAGGTGGAGAAACCTACACGTGTAGATTTCAAAACCATCCCTAAGCAGCAGGGGACTGCTTGGACGGCCAAGTTGGCCAGCAGATGGCGCTGCGCCGCACGTTATGGACCCTCGAGTGCCGGTGGCGCTGGGAAGACGAACTGTGCAAAGTTTCTTAGAGCCGTTCCTGGACTGAAACAAATGTTTGTGGAATTAAGTAGTGATTTCCTTTAGTCTGCGCCCCTCTTACTGGCTGTGTTTCCAGGCCTAGAAGTTAACATATGCCACATATTGCTTTTTCTGGTGAAGTTTCCAAGCACGCTTACCCTCATCCTAACTGTTCATATCAACTAGCAAAGGTCTGCATTTTTCTGACAAAGTAACTCATAAAACTTCCATATTAGGAGCTAAATGGTTTGGAAGACAAAGAAGTGCTGAGAAATGTAAGTAAAAAGCGCACCTAAGATTTTTCTTTCTAAATAAACATAAGGGTGGTGGTGGTGGTGCTGGTGGTGGGGATCTTTTATCAGGCTGAAAATAAAGCCTGAAAGTAGACGGGAAGAAACTCAATCTCGGAAAAAGTGTTGCTGACGACTGGAGGGATGGGGAGTTTCATTATGTGTTTGCTGGAAACACATAGGTGCAGTGGTCATAAATGTATAATTGTGGAGATAATTCAGGAAACCTGCCGGCGCCCAAGGCTGTGGGTCTTCAGGGCAATGGGTTTTCAGAACCAAGCTAAACAACAGTGGATTAAGGCTGATAGAAACTGCCAAAGCCATTGCCCCTCCATGCCAAAGTGACTCTATTTGTCAGGGCTCAGTATATATTTAATACTGCCATAAAATTCATCTTCTCAGAGTACACAGGGCGAGGCAGTGTCTGTCTTCCACAAGATGCATGCAGCTTTGTTAGGGGATAATAGATTTGACGTGAATAAAAACAGTGGGGATTAAATAGACCCGGCCCAGATATATATGACTCATTGTCATCTTCTTCTATCAGCATAAACATCTCTAGCACTGTGGACTAAAGATGCAGGAGCAACAAGATGTGAGGGTGATTAGTCACTGCAGAATTGATTCCTAACTGATTGATGGAGGAGGGGGTGGGATGGAGCACAGAGAGGTTTCTTTAGGTATGGAGGTGAGCATGGCTTTTTAGAATCTCCGAGCATTTATGGCCGAGACTGAAGTGTGTGTCCCAGCCCTGCAGAGTACACAGCTGTTCTGTAGTGCTGTTGTGTGCAAGATAACTTTGGGCTTCTCTTTTACAAATGTTGATTAAACTTCTGAAACTAGCGTAAGGACCCAAGCATCTTTAACAGAAAAGAACAGTATTGAAATTTTCTTTAGACTTTTCAAAAGTTTTAGCAAGGGACCCAATTACTGTATTTTCTTTCTTTACATAGAAATAATATTGAACTTTTAAAAACTATTTTGCTATTTTTTTCTTGTAAATCAAAAGCTAGTGCTATGTGAACTTCTTTTTTTGAGATAGTGAATTCATCTATGTAGTACTGAAACACATCCTTTCAAAATACAACGTATTCTCGGGCTTTGAAAGTTAGTCATTTGAAATAGTAATTATATTTAAGGTGGTTAAATAATAGAATGGGTATATTCACTTACTAACATATGGTTTTTAACATATGATGCCAGTTTTTTTCACCTGTTTTCATTTCTTGAGCTAAAGTTCAAAGACATTTTTATAACCAAATGTCATTTATTATATCAATGTATGCTGTTTATACCGTGAATATTATTAACAGAGTGAAATGAAACTTTAGTTCTGTGAATAATAGCAATGTTTAAGGCTTACCAAAAATTACAAACATTGCAAATTCTATCTGTAATATCCAGAAGCTGATTTGGGATCAAAATTTAGAGCTGTCTTTCAAACAGAATCACATTAAATTTAAAATTAGTCAAAGATTACAGTTTGCTATGAAGAATGTCTCCACCCCCAATATGAGCAAATGTCATCAAAATGAAAGGGAAAAAAAAGAAAAGAAAAGAAAAGATTTGATTGTTTTGACACAAGTGAGAGAAGCTTAGTGTCGCTTCATTTTTAACCTCATTTCAAATTATCTTTTAACCACCCTGATATTTCTGCATGGAGATAATCACATCTCATCAGCCTTCTCAAAACCCGGCAGCTACACACCCAGAGCTAATGGTTCTTGTTAAATCATATTGCTAAACAAATTGGTACAGCTCATGCAGCTGACAGAGAAATCAGCTTGGCTGGACGGCCTTTTTTCTTTCTTTTCTAGCTTACTTTTATTTTCTTTCCTTTGGTAATTTTAATCTTACATAAGGTGTGTGATTGTTTTCCCCAGCAAGGTAGGACATGAGTTTAAAAAAACCATAAAAGCGAATCTACCCTGTTGATAATGGAAGATAGGGACCTGTTGAAATGCTTCTGGGAAAACAAGCGTGTGGATTCACATCCACATTCAATAGTCGAAAATCCTTCTCAGGCAAGGCAATGAAACGTGGGACTTCAGGAAAAAGAAAACGTTACCCTGGTTTTAAACACACACAATCACTTCTGCCTAACACTATTCAAGAATTCACGTATCATTGAGGGTTAACAAACACAACCAGGAAACTGGGCTTACTGTTTTAGCAGTTTCACATCTGCAGATGTAAAATCAAAAGCACCCTGCTTACCATTTGAAAAACTAGTATGTAAATGACTGACTGCCTTATCTTGACAGGATTCGCCTTAACTTCACTTCCTCTCACTTCGTCATTTAATTTGTATGGTTTCCAAATCAGAGTGACTATCATCTATTAGTCCCCCTGGTGACAGAGGGCAGGGACTGTTGTATCCGAGTTAATAAAGCAGAAACACAAGCCTAATTACTGGGGAAATAAGCCACGCTGGCAGGGGCTCCGTCTCCCAGGTCTGGAGCTATCTACACCCAGACATTTGGGAGTGAGTCTGTGTGCTTGAGGACAGCCAGAGACAGCAGCAGCAGGTTGGGTGCTTTTGCTTTTGTAGGAACAATACTGCTACATGTCAGGAATTGGCTTCCCCAGAGGAAGGGGTGGTAAACTATGCACCTAGAGGAGGAAGCAAGTTATTTATTAATCAATCTAAAGAGATAGTGGGTGGGGGGGCAAAGGCACTTTATAACTGTAAGGAGCAAAACAAATAAGAAGTTGCATTTTTGTTTCAAGGACATGGATGTGTGTTTACATGAGGTCTACATACACATGCATTACATGGTTCCATATTCAACATGAAGGTGTGTGTCTCTGTGTGTGAGAGAGAGAGAAAGAAAAGGAAAGAGAGAAAAAGATTGCCTCTTTAATTCCAAGTCATATACATCATGGAATGTATCGCTACAGAAAAATTAAAACATAAATATACGTATCCATGTGCACACATATGCACATAGAAGGATGCGTAACACTTTTTCATATAACGTTCTAACATATATATCTCTGAATGTGTGCATATATAATAATGTATAGCATTATAATAGCTCAAAAACTTTTTTAGCATCGAGCCTGGTTGAAAATGTCATTTATTGATTCATCAGAGGCCGATATTATGTCTTACAGGTTTACATCATATGTGCATATGACTATATTATACTTATGTGAATTGCATGCCATACTGAGAAATTTCATCATCACATGTGCCTTTTCATATGTGTTTATGTGAGACTCCAACACTATCATCAGTACTGCCATCCTCCCAGCTTCCTCCTTCACAAATAAACAAACAAGAAAGCCTACCTGGGTGGTAAAAATCACCAATATTTAAGAGAGATTCCTGAAACAAGAACAGAAAATGCTACAGTTCTTGGCTCCTTATTTGAACGGTGACAATTACCAATGGATATGATAGCAAAAATTAAAAACAGTGTTTGGAGAGTGAATCTATTAATGCAGCTTTGTCCAGCAAATATAAAAATTGCAAAGTAATTCGTCCATTTGACAATGGCTAATGAACTTAAGTATGCACAATGAACTTTAGTAATTGAGGAAATTATGCAATTAAACTGAAAGCAGCTGAAAATTACAAATAAAAAGTACTCTTCAGCTCAGCAAGGATGTTACTGCTTCTAGTACCCAACCAGTTTGTGTTGTTATCCAAAAAGTCTGGAACGTTTCAGGTGACTGTGCAATTTATCGTGGCAACTTACCATAAAGATATTGACCTCATTTTTGTTTTAACAGAAAGGAGCACTAATAACCCTTTTCCACAGTATGTTTCCGAATTACCATGTGGTTGGAATTATACAAAAAGTCTCGTTGGCACTGTGTGTTTTAATTTTGATTTAGGGTTTATGATCCTATCTGTGTCTATTTTAAATTTAAGTGGATTACATTCAGCAAAGATCCTTTTACTACCCTGGCTTGGCTGTCTCATTCCATTAGGTTCTATATGTTCAGCTTCTACAAATCTGCTAATACATAAAACCATAAGAAGCCTCTTATGTTTGAACCAGGTTAGACTGAAGACATCAGATTAATATTTGATAATGTAGAAGGGCCCTTAATCAGATTTGCTTATTTCATGACAGAATGTTTCTGCAATTATCATAATTGTTGTGCTAAATATGTTTGTCTTTGTCTCTGGCTTTGGGCATAATCTTCTCTCTTGAAAGCCACTCAATGTGGGACTTGAGATTCCTGCACAAAACCCAATTAATATTAAGATGACAAGCCCCGATGAGCTCCCAAAGAGGCAACAGCTGAACAGACTCTAACATTCTTAAGTACAGATACTTGAGTGATCAAGTACATCTGAGGGAGACACACAATTCAATAATCCCTTTCTCAAGAAAGTCAAGAGCCCTGTGAGATACGAGGGAAATCAAAGGAACACATCAGAAAGAAAATGACGGGTCTGGTCCTGTAGCGTCTCTATTAAAATGCAAAAGTTATGGATTTTTTTCGGGGTGATGGGAACCTTTTCTGTTTTTATTGATTTCTTTTTATAGCTTGATGATTTCTCTAAGATTATCTTAAAAGCTTAAAGAAAAAAGGGGCCTCATCAAAAGGTATCTTACATGACAGGAGCATAGATAGTTTTGGTTAACATGATGTGGCCAAGGCACTCTACGGTCCAGAGAGAAAGAGATTCTGCTCATTCATCAGCGTGGGGGGAGTCTGCAGCCGCCACAGCAAAATGAAAATTTTACGGCCACATTTGGTGCACGTGGCAAACCCACTCTGCTCGCCGCTGGGCCAGTTAGGAGAGATAAGTGGCAGGCTGGAGGTACCTGGGCATTCCCCAGAGATGGTGTTATAAAGCATTGTACTAACAAATGTATTTCCATTTTCATTGCATAAAGCAATCGCCTTTATACCCTGACCCCCAATTTCCTAGCATCATGGGTGACTTCGTAGATTTACAGCTAAATTTACTGTCCAGAGGTGACATCCTAACCCATTGATTTGTAATCAGAAATTGGTTTCCT